ATAAGTCATAATAACTTGCATTACATGACTTCATGCATCACTCACACTCAAAGTTGAAAAATACAAAAAAGGATTATTTACATTTCATGTTACATTTTGCATTAGCACTCACGAATAGGTTTTAATCTACATGCCTAGTTATCAATTGTTTTCCTCTGGTTTGTCCTTTGAACATTTTCTTGCTTTTCCTCTTTTCTCCATGACCACTTCAATGGTTTGCAGGCGCAAGAATCCCAAAGACTATGACCTCATAACTTGCAAGAGGGAATTCAGAAAATGGAATGTTTCCCAAGGAAATAGAGGCGTGCACACTATTAATTAGTGTACACGCCAAATGAGTTTATTGAATACGCTTGGGAACAGGAGCTTTAGGGCAACATGAAGCACGAGGAATGAGATTTGGCCTCATTCTCGAATTGTCAATGAAGCCACAAGAAGGACAAGAGCAAATGTATTAGTAACAGGTAGAAGAAAGTGCGAGGAAAAGCTAAAAATGGAAAAATACGAAAAGCTGCATGATGAGTTACAGCAAGCATGGAAAAGAAAAGGCCAATCAGCAAAGTTAAAAGATAAATGTGAAAGGGGAACCCACAACTTAGAACAGGACTGTGGCAATTGCAGGGGATGAAGGTTCAAAGCAGGAAATACAATGGTTTAAAAGCAAGGCAGAAACTGAATATGCCAGCAAACAGGGCTCAAAATGACAAGGTCGATTCAGTTAGCCATTTATTCAGTACAGTCTCAAGCAGTTACATAATACCATTAAAGATGTCAATGGTTGTCACCAAGCAAACATGTCAAGGCCCAAACTTGGGAAAGCAGTAGATGTCATAAGCAAGCTAGACAGACCCAAGCAAGTCCGATCCTAAAAATGCTCTAATCACAGGGAGGCCAAGGCAGTGCATACTGAGTAAGGGATTATCATCATTTCAGAATGAAAGCAACAACAGAACATGAATGGATTAGGTAAAGGCATTGAAACAAGCCTGTTAAATACCAAATATAGTGTCACGAACAAGCATCCCTGATATGCTACATTAGTTGGAAAAAATGCAAAGCCATATAGTGATGATCAGTAGCAAAATAGAACTGTGTCAACACTGTTCTTCCCAACCAAAAGAGGTTCATCAAGGCCATTCAATAATCAAGAGAAGTGGCATCACAACAGTGGGAGGAGAAATACAAGAATTAAGTGCAAATAGAAAGTAATTCAGTCACAAGCAAGGCCAGATTATAACAGACAATTCACAGGAACATGGCAGGGTTGACATCTCAAGGATTCATTTAGTCTCAAGTAATTTTGTAGGTGATATCAACATATAAGTGGTACTATGAGCAAACAAGATCCCAAACTTACATAAGCAACAGGAAATTCACTCCAAAAGGCAATTACACAAAATTTCAAAGGATTTCATTTCGGTATACCTTAACAGGGATCCATTAGTTCGAAAGTCAACAGACGAGGCTCTAGTTGACATGGCAGGTGTATATTGGCCCCGAGCATACATCAAAGTTGTCTCATTAGCCACATCATTGGCCACGTCAGCACCTATAGAGGGGAGAACACACGTGAGATAGGAAAATTAAAAAAAGTAAGTAAGACAAATTGGAAATTTCAAAGAGGAAAAAGACTCACCTTGCCGACATGGCACCCACCAATTGGTCCCATAGGGATCCAAATTTGGCCGTATTTGCCACCTCACCAATCCAAAGGGTGTATGCAGGGAGTGAAGCGAGGTTAGGGGAAACCAGACAAAAAATAATAAGGGAAAACCGCGTCAAAATAACAATGGTCCTCGACACCTTTTACCTCAAATCGACACCTGTAGAAGACAACAAACGGAATTAAAATCATGAAATAAAAAAAATGAAAATTGAGGGACCATAGGATAAAGAAAGAATCTACGGTCAGGGCGAAAACTTGGAGGTTTTTATACCCCATTTCAGAGGATTTTAAAGGAGGAGGGTTTTGGAAACAGTAAGAACAATTAGGGTTCTGAAAATCTTAGGTTTTTTTCGAAGAAATTAAAAAAAAAAAGAAAGGGAAAACAGGAGGAAAATCTTCGAAGAAGGCTTAACTAGCTTTGGGATTTCATCCCAAGCCGTGAAGGAAGCCCGAGATCCCCTGTTCTTTTTCTTGAAACTCTTCTTCAAACAAAAAAAGATAGTTTGTTTTCGGGTCTCATGGTTCGTTAGCCATAGATTTCGTTTTTTTTTTTAGGAAAAGGGGGTTTCTTTCGTTGTTGGGTGGTGATTAACGGAGGAAAGGTTTGGTTTCGCCGTCGGTAGTGGAGAAAACGGCGCTGCATAGGGGAGTTAGGGTTCGGGTGAATCGGAAAAAGGGGAAGAAGAAGAAGGAGGTTAGGCGGTAAAGGCTTTTCAGAACATATATATAGGTGACTTTCTAAACCCTACTAAGTTTTCTTTTTATTCAATTAAGTCTAAAAATTTATGCTCCTATTCACCTAAAGACTAAACGTTGTTGGAGTGCTTAGACCTATCCTCTGGTTTGTTGGTCGATTCAATGGGGTCCTTGTAACTTCATCATGTTGATCAATCTGGCCCTTTGTAGATTAATTCCATAATAAAAATCAAATCTTTTAATTAAAATAAGTCCTTTTAATCGTAAAGATGATGAAAATAGGATATTTGGCTAAAATATATAACCTTTGGCTTAAAGATTCAACCTTTGAATAAAAGATTGAATTTTTAAGTAAATTGGTAAATAAAAATGTCATCTTTGAGTAAAAGATTGAATCTTTAGAGTAATTAGTAAATAAAGATTTAACCTTTGAATAAAAGATTGAATTTTTAAGTAAATTGGTAAATAAAAATGTCATCTTTGAGTAAAAGATTGAATCTTTAGAGTAATTAGTAAATAAAGATTTAACCTTTGAATAAAAGATTGAATTTTTAAGTAATTGGTAAGTAAAAATGTCATGTGAGGGTAAAAGATTGAATCTTTAGAGTAATTAGTAAATAAAGATTTAACCTTTGAATAAAAGATTGAATTTTTAAGTAATTGGTAAGTAAAAATGTCATGTTAGGGTAAAAGATTGAATCTTTAGAGTAATTAGTAAATAAAGATTTAACCTTTGAATAAAAGATTGAATTTTAAGTAATTGGTAAGTAATAATGTCATGTTAGGGTAAAAGATTGAATCTTTAGAGTGATTAGTAAATAAAGCTTTAACCTTTGAATGAAAGATTGAATTTTTAAGTAATTAGTAAATAAAATGTTACCTTTAAATCAGAAGTTCAAACTTTTAGGGCTATTAGTAAATAAATTGATTAGTTTTTGAAAGGAAAATGTTTGGAAAGATAGATTACAGTAAGATAAGATTAAGCGAAATTTAAAACTTAAGTATGTGTTAATCAAGTTTAAACCTTTTAAACTTTGTGGATTTAATCATTATGCTTAATTATTTTGTCTTTGTTTTGTTATTTTTGGGCTTCCATATTTGTCATAATTGAGTGTGTTGACATGTTTGGATTTCTATTATATTTGAGCCTTGCGCTTGGACAGTATTTAGGGTTTAGAAGCTTAACTATCTTAATCCGGCCTAAGTTTGAATAAAATTAAGGCTTAGAAGTTAGCGTTAGTTGCATGTGCATCCATATTTAAATTATGAGATTGGGTTGTTGTTGCCATGATCATAAGACTGAATTAAAATGACTCCCGTGAAGGGAAAGGAGGGCGGCTCATTCATGCGTGTCTGAGTTTGCTTGACTTCTACCGGAGGCTTGGAAATTTCCGGAGGTCGTTTACCATTTATTAGGAGGCGGCCGAAGGTGTTCCTCGTGTAATTGATGGGTAATTAAGTTTAAAAAGAATCTCATGCATCATATGCATCCACGCATTCAAGCAGTAAAGTAGTAAAAAGGGGTAATCAGTAATCAGTAAAAAGAGCTTAAACAGAGTGAAGGTGATGGTAATCAGTAAATCAGTAAAAAGAGATTAATCAAAATCAAAGTGATGGTAATCAGTAAATCAGTAAATCAGTAAAAAGAGATTAATCAAAGTCAAAGTGATGGTAATCAGTAAATCAGTAATCAAGTAAAAACATAGTAATCAGTAAATTGATAATTAAGAGTCAAGGTAAGAAATTAATCAGTAATTAAGAGTCAAGGTAAAAATAGTAATCAGTAAATCAGTAATTAAAAGTCAATGGATTGATCGGTAAATCGATACTTAAGGGAGAAAGTAAAATTAGTGATCAGTAAAGAGAAAAATGGTGAAATGGTAATTAAATTCAAGAGAGTAATTAGTAAAAGAAAAATGGTAAAGAGTAAAGAATAATCAGTAAAGAGTAAAATAGTAATCAGCAAAAGACAGCCATTAAGAGTAAAATAGTGATCAGTAGAAGGTAGTCATTAAGAGTAAAACAGTAATCAATGAGAGCAAAGTGGTAATTAGTAAGAGTCAAATAGTAATCAGTAAGAAGTAAAAGAGTAATCAGTTAAAAAGGAGCAGAAAATAGTAATCAATAAAAGAATAAAATGGTAATCAGTAAAAAGTAAAAAGGTAATCAACCAGAGTAAAATAGTAATCAGTACAAGATAAAGAATAATCAGTAAAATAATGATGGTAATCAGTAATTCAGTAAAAGGTGAGTAAAAAGAAAAGTAAAGTATGAAAAAGGATAGTCAAACAAGGATAAAAGAAGAAAAGTCGGTTTTAAGAAAGAATAAATGGAAAAAGAAAGAGAGAGAGTTTAAAGGCATGAAAATATAGTAGCAACCGATAATAGAAACCCACAGTTAAGTCTAGATTAGTCAGTGCCGTCTTTTGACGGGCGTCGTGGGGGTGCTAATCCTTCCCCACACGTACCCGACTCCCGGATCATAGGACTCTGGTTAGAAGACCGTTTATTAGGTTTAGTGTTACCTTCGCCAAGCTTAGGTTAACATTAGGCTTAATAATCTGATAGGTGGCTAATCACACCTAGGTTAAAAAAGATTAGTGGCGACTCCCCTTAGGTTTTAATATTCTTTAAGTCGTTAAACGGTAGGGTTCGGAGACCCCGGACCCGGACGTTGCAACACCTGCATGAGTACAGCACCAATAGCAAAGCCTGATGCATCAGTTTCTACCACAAACGCTTTGGTGAAATCTGGTAGAGCTAATACAAGTGGATTTGTCATGGCTTGCTTAAGCTCGAGGAAAGCCTTGGAAGCAGAGTCTCCCCATTCAAATCCATCATTTTTCAACAAATCATGTAAAGGTCTGCATATAGCTCCATAATTCTGCACAAACCTTCTGTAATACCCTGTCAAGCCCAAAAATCCCCTCAACTCAGTCACATTTTTGGGAGTTGGCCAATTAATAATAGTTGTTATCTTCTTAGGGTCAGTTTCCACCCCCTTTGTAGTGATGAAATGTCCTAAGTATTCCACTTTGTGCTGTGCAAAAGAGCATTTGCTTCTTTTAGCAAACAATGTGTGCTGCCTCAAAAGCTCAAAAGTGGTCTGCAAATGTTCCAAATGATCGACCAAGTTTTTGTTGTATATTAAAATATCATCAAAGAAGACCAAGATGAACTTCCTGAGATGTGTTCTGAAAACATCATTCATGAGGCCTTGAAAAGTAAAAGGGGCATTTGTGAGACCAAAAGGCATGACTACAAATTCGTAGTGCCCATCATGAGTTTTGAAAGCTGTTTTGTGCACATCTAGAGGGTACATTCGAATCTGGTGATACCTTGACCTAAGATCAATTTTTGAAAACCAAACTGCACCATGTAGTTCATCTAAAAGTTCATCAATGATTGGTATTGGGTACTTATCCTTCACTTTGTTGTTGTTCAAAGCTCTATAATCAATGCACAACCTTCAAGTGCCATTCTTCTTCTTAACAAGCACCACAGGAGAGGAAAAGGGACTACTACTTGGTTGAATGACCCCTGATTGAAGCATTTCTTGCACCATTTTCTCAATAAATCCTTCTGACAAGCAGAATGTCTATAAGGTCTGAGATTAATGGTTGTTAACCCGTCTTTCAAAGGTATTTTGTGATCATGTAATTTTTGAGGAGGCAGTTCTTTAGGTTCTTCAAAGATATCACCGTACTTTTCCAATAGATCCTGTATAGTTGGAGGAATCTGTTCCATTCCATCAGTTTGCAATGTGATATTATTCAACTCTACAACTGCTTTTCCTTGAACCTGAATACAGTTTATGTGAACCAAGGAACATTCCCCACCTTGAGAAATGGCTTTGTCCATGGCTTTTGCCCCCACTGTTTTGAACTTTTGAGCCATATTGCCACCTCGTAGCACAAATTTCCGACCATTAACTGTAAATTCCATCCGTAGTTCCTTAAAGTTCCAATTAATATCTCCCAAAGTCTCCAACCATTGTACCCCAAGCACCATGTCACAACTTCCCAATGGTAAGAGCAGTACATCAGTAACAAACAGAGAGCCTTGCAAAGTCCATGATAAATTTTTGCAAGCTGCGAAACAAGCTAAACTGTTGCCATTAGCCACATCTACTTTCATAGGTTTAACTTGGATAATTTTGCAGCCAAGTTTCTTAGCAACATTAACATCCAGAAAGTTGTGAGTGCTACCAGAATCAATTAGAATATGCAAAGGATGTTTCCCCACAAAGACAGTGACTCTCATGGTTTTATACCCCTCATAAACAACACCAGTTAAAGCATGAACTGAGATTCTCAATTAAAGCATCAGAATCTTCATCTAATTCAAGCTCAAGTTTTCCATGTTCATCATTTTCATCAACTTCTACCATATATAATTGTCTTTTGACACATTTATGTCGAGGAATATACTTTTCTTAGCACCAAAAACAGAGTCCTTTGGCTCTTTTTTCATCAAACTCAACATTGCTTCTAATTCTTCCTTTGTCATTAGAATTAGCCCTTCTTGTAACACCAGAGGTTACTAGAGTGGTAGCAGCAGGCAATAATAGAGTTCTTTTATCATTACCATTTGAACCAAGCAGTGAAGGTGGTTTCCTAGCTTGAAATTCAGATTATAAGGTACTGATAGTGGATTCTAGCAATCTAGCTAATGTCACAACATGCTTAATGGTTTTAGGCATAAACATCCTAACAAACTGTTCTATTGCAGGCTTCAATCCACTCAAGAAGAAATCAATTGCATATTCCATAGTAATTCTTACTCGACCTAACAAGTATTCAAATCTCTTGTAGTATTCGAGCACAGTACCAGTTTGTTTTAATGCCAATAGCTCGGCCATCGGACTTTGAAAGAGATTCTCACAAAATCATGACTCCAAAGCCATCACATACTCCTCCCAAGTCAGATCGCCACCATGGTCAGTGTATAAAACCAAATTCTGTTGCCACACCAGAGCTTCACCTTCCATGTTCATGGAAGCCATCTTGACCTTAAGATCTGTAGGCGTTTGATCAAGATTGAAGAACTGTTTGCAATGGAAAAGCCATCCCGATAAGTTTTCACCATCAAAACGAGGGAATTCTAGTCGTGTCCTCCTCGTAATATAGTGTTGTTGTTTATAAGCGCCACCTTAAGCTCCGTTGTGAGAAGCAACAGTTGATGACAATTCAGGAACCTGGAGCTGAGTCATGATCTATGCTTGCTGCAAATTCAAGGCTGTAATATCATTGCGCAGAGATGCAACAGTTTGATTTTATGTCTGCTCCTGATTCAGAAGCATTTGCTCCTGACTCTGAAACTTAGCTAGGATTTCCTTCATTGTTTCTTCCAATCTGCGTACATCGTCAGCTTTGGTCATCTTGCCGGCGCCGGGATCGGAGCTCTGATACCAATGGTACCGGTAAAAATGGATCAAGAAGAAGATCAGGGAAGAAGAAGTATAGAGAACTTCCTCCGAGAACTAGCTTCAATATTGGCGGGAAAATGCCATTTGAGGAATAGAGAGAATTAGGGAAAATAGAGAGATTTTATTAATAGCCAAATCAATAGTTTGTTTACGGACTCTAGAGTGTCCTTTTATAATCCTAGGCACTCAAAAAGATCAACAGAAATGAACAAATGAAATTGCTTCCTACAAAAACGCAAAACTGACTCCACAAGTTTGGCACCAATTCTTCACTTTTGAATTTCTTCAAATGTTACTTACCACGTGTCTTGCTCTGCATGCCACCCACGTGCTCAACTTTTACTGCGTATCAATAAAACAGTCTCATTCTCTCTCAGCACTCTAGTCTCTTCTATCTCAAGATATTCGTTCTCTCTCTTTTATTTCGTACCAGCGACAGTCTTGAAGAGAGGAAGGAAGTAACAAACCGCAAACGGCATGGGGCAGCAAGGCAATGGGACGCGTACAACGGCCGGCGAAAGTCCAGGAACAAGGAGTCGACAGTTGACAAAGAGGTGTGGGAGATTTGTTAGTGGGAAACCAAATTTCATAATTCTAAAATCAACCCAAATTTGATTCGGGGTTTTCAATCTCGTTTTTCAATTCTCTTATTTTATTTTATTAGTTTATATAATTTTCAGATTTTGGGAAAAAAAACTTGAAAAAACCAGATATGCCACTCGGCATTTTTGTGCCAACAAAGGACCGATTGAAACCCGGTTTAACTGGTATATCCGAAATCGGAAATTTGTGCCACGTTGGACAAAAAGGCAAAAATTTACTCTTGTAGGATTAAGCCCAAACGTAAGAAAGTATGTCGCCGCACTGTGCGATTCGCCTTTAACATCGACAAGATCGCTGATAAAGTAAATGCGAGGCTCAATGGGTGGAAGGCGAAGACTTTGAGTTTAGTTGGGAGAGCGACCTTGATTGGTTCTGTCACATCGGCGATTCCGACCTATACTATGATGACAGCCCTATTACCAAATGGGATGGTGGAAGAAATTGATAAGGTGAATATCGTACCGCCAAGCAGCGAACAAGCGTGGCTAGCAACTTGACGGGGCCGTTAGGTTGAGGGGGTAAAACGTCCCAAAATTGAAGTTCAGGGGGCAAAATGTCCAAGATTGAAATTCAGAGGGGGAAAATGGTAGATAAGTCGGTTATTTAATCAAACAAGAATTCTTTTTAGTAGACTTGAAATTTAAGCCTAAAGCATAGTACAGTCAAGTGAATTTTATGGAGGATATAGTAATCATTGACGAAACACATCAGAGGAGTACTACCAATTTACTCGTACAAAACAAAATTTACCTGCTCTGCTCATCCTACCAGTTAAAGCAATGGAACAATTTTGATATAAAAATGCCAGATTTCAAACTCATCCAACAGATATGTTGTTGGGGTAACCAGAAGAATTTTTAATTTGATACTAGTTTAACCTCAAGAAATGGAATGATTTGAGCTGAATGAGATAAGTAATTATCTTATAGACTCCACTTTTCCACACATGAAATATAGAGCAAGTTTACCAATAATCAAATATTAATAGACATAACAAAAGAAGGCAAACAAAGACCAAAGGAAGAAAAATAAGACCTGAAATGTCTTCCATTTCATCGGATAATGAATCTTAAACATGACAGTTGTCCTAATATTAATGGAACTAACAATGTGGAGCTTGGTATGATCCTTACACGTGCATTTCACCATTCACAAGTTGCAGCAAAGATATTATGCGAAGAGGGTTCCTTAATAATCTTTTCCCAGAAAAAAACACTTGTGAGACTTGTTTCATCGTTGGCCTCAGTTTTGGATCAGCATTTAGGCATGCTAATGCTATTGCAGCCACAAGAACTATGCTCCCTGCGACCATCTTACATGTTGGAGGCGAGAGACGTGGATCCAATACATCAATCAACATTATATTTTTGCAAAGATGATGGTCCCGCCGATAACAACGATAAAAGTTCACCCGGATGCTTTCCCACCAATGTTTCCAATGCCAAAACTCCAAAGCTATAAACATCACATTTTTCTGTAACAACCCTTGTATAGGCAAGCTCTGCATTTATCAACAAATAAGGAACATGAAAATGCATAAAAAATATGTAAAATGATACTATAAGATTAAAGACCCTTTTTGCATACCCAAACCAAAAAAAAATTAAATGACTTGAAGAGGATATATAACATCACCTGGAGCAACATAGCCATAAGTGCCAATAAGCCTTGTTTGATTTAAAGAATCAGGATCAAGGATTCGAGCCGTCCCAAAATCAGAAACAAAAGCCTCCAAGTCAGAGTTCAACAAAATGTTGCTACTTGATATGTCTCGGTGAACTATGATTGGTGTGCATTCATAGTGCAAGTAAGACAAAGCATGAGTTGTGCTTTTGACAACATTCACCCTTTTCTTCCAATCCAACTCCACAGCTTCAACATCGTTTTTGAGAACCCGCAACAAGCTCCCTTTTTCCATGTATTAGTAAATCAAAAACATGCAATGCTTGTGTAGACAATACCCATATAGTTTCACAATATTTCGATGTCGGATCTCTGTCAGAAACTTTATCTCATTTCTGAAACTTCTGTCAAAAACAGGTTCCTCTGCCTCAAGACGATGAAGCTTCTTCAAAGCAACTACTTTGCCACTTGGTAGCTTTGCTCTATAGACAATTCCGTAACCACCAGTTCCAATGCAGTATCAGATGTCAAAATCATTTGTTGCAGCTATGATGTCCTCATATGCTATCTTTCCATTGAAGTTCCATATTGAGAACATATCTCCATTCTTGGTGCTTTGCATGATGTTACTTAGGTTGACCTTGACTTTCGTCCTTCTCCCCCACAGTAAAAATAAACACTCAAGAACAATTAGAAAAGCGAGGAATATGCTAACCGGCACAGATATTTGGAGATTGATACTAGTCCTTGTTCCTAAAGAATATGTTGGAGGTGGATGACAGGGATAGATTGCTAAATTTTTGTTCCCACCATATACCGCTTCAAGCTGATCTTTTTCCTGACAGCTAGAATTTCCGTTAAGTGGCCCAAGAGGATTAGATGGAACATCTCCTGACAGATTATTATTTCTTAGATCTAGTTCGTATGGCCGCGGAAGGTTTCACATTTGATAAGGAATGAGACCTTCTAGATTGTTGTTGTTCAAGTTCAACCCTTGTAATTTGGAGCAATTACCAATTTGAGGCGGAATAGGTCCATTCAACTGGTTATAAGAGAGGTCCAACAAAGTGAGTGATCCCAAATTTCCAATTTGAAATGGAATTGGTCCAGTCAAGTTATTTGAAGACAAGTCTAAGGAGATCACTGCTTTTAAGTTGCCAATTTCCTTGGGTATGGGACCTTCTAAAAAATTTGAATGAAGGTTTAGATCACGCAACTTTTTCAAGTCTCCAATGTTTGAAGGGATGGAACCAGTGATTCTATTGGAGTTGAGGTATAAATCTTCTAATTTAAGCAAATGACCAATAGAAGAGGGAATTGGACCAGTTAAACGATTGAAGCTAAAATCTAAGTAGATTAGCTCCCTGAGATTCCTAATTTCAGATGGAATCAAACCATTGATTTGATTATTATTATGAAGGTCTAGATATTCTAATTTTGTCAAATTACCCAAAGTGTTCAACTGACCAACAAGCATGTTATCTGACAGATCTAAAGTCACCAAATCCTTTAAGTTCCCAATTTCTAGAGGGATGGATCCATTAATTTGGTTTCCAGCAAGAGATAGAAATGTGAGACTAGCTAATTGACCAAAAGTCGAAGGGATTTGACCAATTATTCCACAATGGCTCAGGTCCAGAACCATAAGAGCCTTCAAATTCCCAATTTCTGCAGGGATGAAACTATTGAACCAATTCGCTCTCATTTGCAACTGGGTAAGATTGGTTAAAAGACCAAAACCCAATGGAATTTGCCCTGTGAGCTTGTTCCCGCTCAAATTCAAAGCAACCAGATTTTTCAGATTCATTACTTGTTGAGGAATTGAACCATATAGATTGTTATATGAAATATCCATAACTTCCAATTGGGTGAGTTTTCCAAGTGAAGAAGGAAACTCACGAGAGAGAGAGACAATTTAAGGACAAGTTGAGATATTTGAGTGATGGAAGATTACATATCTCAGACAGTATGCTCCCATAGAGTCCTCGAGCTGCAAGGTCAAGACCGACTAGGTTTCGAAAGGCGGAGAAATTCATATTTTGTAATTCATCATCATTCAGCCGCGGTAACTCCCTAGGCAGAAAAATGTTGGTGATGCTTCCAACTCTATTGCATGTTATACCAGGCCATGTGCAACGTTGGGAGGTATCAATCCTATTCCACCAGTCACTCTGGAGCAGGGCTCGGGCTTCTGATTCTAGACAAGTTGATGACACTAAAATGGTTGTGGAATAGGAAAGAACGACAATGGTAATCCACACTCCTACCAAACAACCCCTAATTAACTTCAACGACGTCACTTTTGCAAGTTTCTGGTCAATAATTGCAAGTGTGGAACACACCCAAGACTTAAAGACTTAAATATATACTTGACTGGTCGTTGATCAAATCACAAGATAATTCCCCACAAACCAATAACAAATAGCTAGGGCAAGTAGGGGTCGAATCCACAGGGAATGTACGAATCAAAGTTAAATCTTACAAAAGAAATTCTAACCTAGAAAAGATATTTTTGGATTTTTCAAAATAGATTAATTAAACTAGAAAACAATTAAAAGAAATCTAAATTAAAGATCTAAAAGAGAATTTAGTAAAAACAATGAATAAAAAGCATACTTCTTCTCCTTTAGGTAACTACTTTGATCAAGTGAATCATGGATCATAGACACTAAACATAAATTTGGCTTAGATTGCAATCAATTAAGAATCATAAATTACCCCAAATCGGTATATAGCCTAAGACGTAGACATCAACTTTCATTGAAACAAAGTAATCCTCTTAATATCTTAAACAACTCCATTTGAATAATTGGTATAGGAGAGGAATACTCGACCCTCCAACATGCTAAGAAGAATTAACCCTCATCTCGCTGACAATTAATATCTATTGTTCCTAATCAAACATTCACCATGTGAAGAATCATAGGACAAGCATTAAGATTTACTTTTCCACATGCATGATAAATCAATACCAAACTTGCCTACATCGATTTCCATCTCGGCCTAAAGATTTCAACAAGGTTTGATATCCCATTGAACCTAGGACTCCTAGAATTACAATTGTTACTTGGACCAACTTTAGCTTGACTCAAGCTACTTGAATCTAACTATAGCATTCATAAATATCAAGATATGTTGTACACCAAATCAATCAAAGTATGAACACATAAGATGAAGTATAGAGATAAGAAACATATTCAAACGAAAAAAACTCAAATTATTAAGAACAAAAGTCTCACCATAGATTCATTGATCAAAAGTACCTAAGGAAAAGAAGTATAAAGGATTAGCTACTCATGGATTGCAAGCAATCCATGAGAGACTTACAATGCTAGAGGCCGGCGGCAGCCTCCCTTCTTCCTATCGACGCAAAACCTAGAGAGCAGATATAAGTTGTAATATGCTAGGTTGGTGCTAGGGTTTTAGACTTAAGAGGGTATTTATAGAGGGTGGCTTAGGGTTAATTTAGAGCTAAAAAAACCCTAAGGACGTGCTGGGCTGCTCTCCAAGTCTTCAAGCTAGTCCAAATAAGAATTTGGGCTCAATTGGATCAATCCCGCAAAACAGGCCCAAGACAGTTTCTGTCCGCGAACTTCAGGGGCATTTTCGTCCATGAAAACGTTCGAACTGGGCTTCGACCAAAACACGAAAGTTGTAGATCTTGGAGTTAGCTTTCCAACGGGTACTCATACGCCTCAAACGGAGCTCTGGATAAAATGATATGGCTAAAATACAGAAAGGTCGCCAAATCTGGAAACAAGTGAAGAGACTTCAAGGTGAAGACACGTATGATGGCATACTTGGCGCACGCATGGCTGGCCCCCGACTCCCCCTGGGCGCCCATGTCAATGGCTTGTGCGCCCAGGGCGTTGCTCTCAGGCCCCAGGTCACCTGCTCCCATGTGGTTGCTGGTGGCATGTCGGCTAGCGCTGGGCGCCCATATGGCATGCTTGGCACCCCATGTGGTTTGCCTCGCGCCCCATGTACTCCAGTGCTATGACACCTCTTAACATATCTTCTTGCCTTGAAATTCAACTTTGCTCCTTTGCTTCAAACTCTTGAAAATCAATCTTATGATGATAAAATTGACTCTTCAAGTTCTTCAATCACGATCATATTGGCTCCATTCTTCATCCAAAATGTCCTTGGAAAATATTTGTGTGAATAATCATCCAAAAAGGCTCCAAAAAGATACAAAATTGGTGATTTTGCACTTTTCTTCACTTTAGCACCTATAAACACAACTATACCAAATATAAGGCATAATCAAGCATAAAATACCCCAAAAGCATAGGAAAATGACCATAAAAATTTGCATAATTTTGGTCCGATCATATTTCCCGCACACTTAAGCTTTGCTAGTCCCTAGAAAACTACGGTTAATCCTAAGAAAACAGAAAAGGTTAGTCCTAAACTAAGCAGCATGAGATTCCACTTGATAACCATCAAAAGATTGACCTTATGTTCTTATCACTTAAGAGTCTATATGTATGAGATGCATGAGACAATTATACAATGATAATATGCATGGAAAAACATTCAATTCAAGAAAATTAATTGATATGCATCAATCATCAATCAAACATAAGAAATTAAATGAGATTGAATTTCAAGAAAGCTTCTCTATTTATGCAAAGTGTAAGCTCCAATGCTCTTGACGTGTGCTTCCTTTCCTTGTCTCCATTGCTTGATCGATTCCCTTGAACTGAAAATGCAAAATGACGTATAACTAAGAAAAAGAAAATTCAAAAGAAAAAGGATAGATGTTAGTGTATTGGGTTGCCTCCCAATTAGCGCCTTCATTTAATGTCTTTGGCTAGACATCCTCGTGGACTATTCTTCATTGGTGAAGGAACGTTGAGTGTGCTCCTTCAAAAGTTCCACGGTTATGTTGAAAGTGTCACTCATGGCTTTGAAAAGTTCAACTATAGCTCCATCAATTTTGAGTAACTTCTCTTGAGCTTCCTTCAATTTGTTGTTGATATCTTCACACGTGTTGTTGGAAATTTTGCCTCTTTCTCCAAGCTTCTCTTTGTTTTTCTTCTTGATCCAACTTGGAGGTGCAATTGCTTGAGTCAAAGCTTCCAATGCTTCATATGCGTCCTTCACAGTCCTATCAAACAAGGGTATGTTGTTGATGCTATCCACAAGAAGTTGATCATCGACTTCTAATCCTTGATAGAAGCACTCAATCAAAACTTGTTGTGAAATGCCATGTTGAGGGCAATTGGCACAAAGTTTCTTGAATCTCTCCCAAGCTAGGTGGAAATTCTCATCCTTGCGTTGTTGAAAGCTTGTAATCCTTTGCCTCCCCTTTGAAAGTTGTTCACTTGTCATGGTTGAAGATGTTGTACCTAACTCTTTCTTTACCCACTTTTTCACTACACAAACAAAATCATTAGTTTTCAAAGATAAATTCGATCAAAGTTTGGGATGAATTACATCACCATCAAACTCCATCGTCAATGAGCCATCAAAAACATCGATTTTGGTGTGAGAAGTCCTTAGGAAAGGTCTTCCTAACAAAAGAGGGCATTGATCCTTTGTAATTTCTCCTTCCATTTCCATAACAAAAATGTCAATAGGAAAAATTAAATGTTGCACTTTAATCAAAATATTCTCTAGCACACCTTTGGGATGTACCAAAGATCCATCGGCCAATTGAAGAACAACATCGGTGTATTTTAAAGAACCAACATTTAAAGTTTGATAGAAGGAATAAGGTATGACACTTAAAGATGCTCCTAAGTCAAGCATAGCATTATCAATGATAGTATTTCCAATTGAACAGGTAATCGAAAACATATCAGGATCCTTGCATTTTGGAGGTAAATGTCTTTGCAAAACAACAGAAGCTGTTGCTCCTACATTCAACTTACCTTGCAACCTTTTCTTGTTTGTACACAATTGCTTAAGAAGCCTTGCATACCTTGGTACTTGTTGAATTGCATCAAGAAGTGGGATGTTGACCTCGACCTTTCGAAAAATATCCAAGATGTCTTGATCTTCATCTTCTTTCATTGATTTCCTTGGCTTGGTTGGAAAAGGTTCCTTCTTTGAATCCAATTTGGACTTGACCACAGAAGTTTCCTTGGCTTTGGTTTCATCATCTTCAATCTTGATCTCCTTCACTAGCACATGCAATTCTTCTTCTTTCTTGCTTGTCCCTTCATCCATTGTAGGCTTTGTTGGATATGGTTCTTCCAACTCCTTTCCACTTCTCAAGGTAATAGCATTCACATTCTCCTTAGGGGGCACTTTTGATTGAGATGGGATCTTGTTTTGGCCTTGTGCTTTGAGCTCACTCACATCACTTGCCAATTGACCTAATTGCTTCTTGATGATCTCCATGGTCTCTCTCATTTGTTGCATTCCCTCAGAATAGTGTGAAGATTGCCTTGGATAGTTGTTCGGCCTTGCTTGATAAGCACCTTGGTTCCCATAAGAATTGTAGCTTCTTGGAAATGGTTCTTGTTTCCTTTGAAATCCCTCTTGCATTCCTAAAGCATTGACTTCTTCCACATCATCTTCGACCAAACTAGGGCACTTATCCGTGTGATGTCCTAATGAACAAATCCCACAAACCTTTGACATACTTGATAAGTTCGATTTGACCAAATCAGTGAGCAAAGCAATTTGTTGATTTGCTTCTTCAATTCGTTGCTCCAATGTAGAGGAGTAGGTTGAGACTTCATTGATCTTCCTAATGTTTCCATCTCTTTGTGCACAATTCTCGCGAGTACCAAATTGTTGTGTGTTGGCGGCCATATTCTCGATCAAAGTCCAAGCATTGGTGGGAGTTTTGTCGATGAAAGCTCCTCCACTTGCAGAGTCTATGGAAGACCTATCAAATGG